AAATCATTAAACAGTCACCCAGTTAAAAGAAATTTATCATAATAAATGGTTTGTGTTAAACAATAAAGAATTCGAATTAACTTGTTTTGCATTTTGTGATAACAGCAAGACATTCAATACGGTTTGTTTAAAAGAACAAGAGACAGCATAGATTTGCGGGTGAAGTTCTTACCCTGGTACCTTGTTGACTAATTATCTTTTCAATCAATCGCAACAGATCGAAAATAAATTTTCAGTATATTTAGTGAGAAGGACGGAAGCTGGAGTTCCCCGGGGCTCTATTCTTGGACTTCAACTTTTCTTACTTGATATACAAGACCTACCAGGTGGTCTATTGGGTACCTCTAGGATATTGTCATATGATGCATATTCGTGTCAAACACCTTTCAAAACGTGCAGAACTTAGAAAGGCTGAGCAATCACGACTTATAAATGAAGAATGGCTAAAAACGAATTGTGAAATTTAATCCCAATTACCAAGCTAAAATTATTAATATTTTTCAGCAATGAAGATAAAATATATAATTGCACTTAGTGTTGAATAATCAGCAAATGGATCCTTCTCTTGGTCACTATCATCTTAGACTTACATTCTCAAACCCTGGGGAGTGGACAAACCACACTGACAGTATTATACAAAAGGCTTCCAAAGAAATTGCAGTTTTTCGTAAATTAAAAGGGTTACGTATCGTGACTTCTTAGCTTAAATGTATTCTAGTATTACGTTTAAATACATGTAAGACCGATACCACTTTTGGAATATGCATTAGAAGCATGGAACAGCATCTCCGCAGCTGCTCTGAAAGGCCTGATAAACTTCAGCAAGAAGCTGTACATATTGTAACTGGCGTTCCTGTTTATCGTGCCTTGCAAGATTTTAAGTATTTTGTGCTGCCACGGTATATTATTCTTAAATTGAATCATTTAACTATTCTCTGTTAAATTTTAGTTCACTATAACCTTACAACTGTAAGAAAAAAAAAATGTCCACCTAAGCCAGATTTAGTACTTACGAAAATATACACTGGTCACCTTAACTCACGTGAAAGGGTTACAAAATATTAGGGAGACCAATTTTTTTGTATATTTTTACCTACAAGTTTTCTGTAAAATTTAGCGTTAAAATGGTAATTAATAAGCCCAAGTACCAACAAAAATGCATTTGGTTTTTATTTCAAAGCATAGGGGAAAAAGATAAATTTTGTCTACTTAAGCCAGATTTCATGGCTTTGGTCCCCTAACCCAGAAATCAGGATTATATATATATATATATATATATATATATATAGTCATACAGTGTATATACAAGAACGAATTTATTTATGATTGTTGACACTGGTGAATTGGATTAAGTATTAGATCCAATAAAAGTACAATAGTAAAAACACCATGTTATCACCATGCTGTCTAGTTATCTATAGAACAAAAGGGGGAATCACTGAGGTTATTCTCACTTTACACGTAGTGTAAATACCCTCCAGAAAGGATAAATATTCGGGCTTGTGTTGTAAAAGTATTGATAGGGCCTTTATAGGCATTGTAAACTTATGCATCATTTCTTAAGCAATTACTTCCTGTGTCTACATTTTTATCATTCACTTCAGTGACTTGTGAAATTCAAATGCAGGTGGGCCAAGTTATCTAATATAGAGGGGGGATCATCATAAACATAAATGTATTAAGTTTTTTCTCCTCTTTTTAGTTCTGAGTATATGGATATCAAAGGCATATAATATGTACATGAAAGTTTTTCATTTCATATTTTGGCTTTATATTCTTTATGTACTTATTTCAGAATATATTGTAAACTTTTTTTGTTGTTGCTTGTTTGCAGGCATTTGGTGAAATTTCACAACAGTTACTTATAATACAAAGTACATTAGAATTTATTAAGTAGATTTTTCTCTATATTAGGTCAAGTGTCTACTCTAATTCAAATATTTCCTATTGCCAGTAATTAGCTATGATATATAACTTGTATATATAACCTCAATTTTATATATGTATATATATGTGATATATATTAACTTCGATTCATTGAGCTGTAACAATACTGTTTTGCATTTGTAGGGAGCCATTGATTTTTAAACCACGTAACATCTGCTGAATCGCAGATGTATTACAATAAATGTCTACTGGTCAACAGAGAATGTGCACATGAATTTTCTAAGTTGAAGGTAAGCTTCTGCTAAGTATTACAACAATGATAAAATAGCTGATGGTGTTTTCAGTTGCTTGTTGGATAGCTCTGTGGGGTGCACTGTTTGGTCTGACACCTAGTATCACATGAGTTATGAATCTAGGACATAAGGTTACTTCAGGGTGCATTCAAGATCGTAGCAGCTATAAATGTCTAGTTAGAGCTGTGATCTAGTGAGATATGCTAGCCTAATTGCTATGTAGAGATAGCAAACATATAGTGTGTATATCTCTAGATATCTAGCCTAGCAACTAAACCAGCTGCCTCAATCTCATGTGCCATTAAATTTTACTGGAAAATCTGAGTTAATTTCAATGTTGTTTGAATTAAGCTATATTTTACACTGTAAATAAATGCAGTAATTTTCTCCTATCTGGAAAAATTTTTATTGTAAAATTAAATCCTCTTTCAGCAATACATATATATATATCTACTGCATAACAATTTTTGCTATTTTTTCTGGTGCTATGAATGTCTTTCACTTCAGAAATAGGAACATTGGAGGTCATTCAGTCCATGTTTACAAACATTTTAACATGAGGAAATCTAGTTTCCAGAGAAATCACTACATGACACACTATGAAAATAGTGAATGACATTGGAAGACTGTTCTACCTGCATAGAATTAGCTGTAGATGCTTCCATATGTTTGTCAAAGGATACATGATAGATGGAATGTATTACAGTCAGTTTGCTCTTGTCTAAATTTCACACTGTCTTTTCAGTTATTTTATTAACCAGTAGGTTGAGGAGAGGGCTTTAAAAGTGCAGTGTTGATATATAGAAAATGTTTTTGAATCTTGTGGAACTTTCCTTCAGATCTCCATCTTGTTGTAAATTTGGTTGCATGGATGCAGTCTCATTTAATTCCAAAGTGAAGACATGCAGATTGCAAAAAACAAAATCATTAATAAAACTCCATGATTTTGTTATAGTTTTTGTCACTATAAGTCTCGAGTTTGATATAAATTGCAAACATCAAATAGGCAATTTTTTTTTTTAATTTATTATTTTGTCCATACTTATATTCATTTGTAAATTATTTTCGGTTGCTTCTGGGGCAATTCAAACTTAGACAAGGGGATAAAAATCTGCTATGTTAATTGCAATGAAAACTAGGAATCCCAGACCAGCAGATAAAGTTTCAGTTGAATGCACTTGTCAATCAGTCCTAACTTTGTTATTTCTATGATTGAGTGAGAAGGGGCATTATTTGAAGTCTACAAGGTAATTTTTTAGGCATTGCATAAAATCTCTGGCTTTAAGGCTTGTCTTGTCTGAAATTGATGACCATTATGTGTGTAACATACATAAACTGGTAATCAGAATTCTGCAGATCTGACATAGTTATGTCAGTGATCAAATATATCATATACATAGTCAGCTTTAACAGAAAGTTAAATGCAGGATTTTGTCTGACAAAACTGGAATAGGCATGTAGCATTATTTTTTAAAGTGAAGGAGCCAGTCAGAAAATAATTTACAAGATACCTGAAAAAAATTTTCCCAGAAAAAAAAAACGCAAATTACAAAATTGGGAGGGGGGGGTTCCAACTTTCTTTTTAACAAGAATAATTGGAGAGGATTTGACCATACTGCAAATAAAAGTGGAGGGTGCAACTGATTACTAAGTGCCTGATGTTTAATACATGTAAAGGATATTTCTCACATGTGTCGGACTTTGGAAGTTGCTTAACAATTTGGATTTTTTCGCATTCATTCTCTCCAAATAGTCTTTCAACAATTAACATGGGCAACTCTAACCTGTGAGTGCCTTAATTTTAAGAATACAGTCACTTGTATTAGAATTTGTAATCATTTCCATTTAATTGGTACACATCTTTTGTGATTTAAAAGTTGTGCATTAAAAAAAATCTCATGGAGTGTATAAAAATATAAACCAGAGACAAGCTGTTTTGATATACATTTGCTACATGTAAAGTTAAAATATACCCAGTGAATCATGAATTTAATTGATTACTAGGAATTCATTCTATTTCAGTGGGTGGATTACCCCCTTGCATGTGTAATTCTCAATGGTGGGAATTTAACAGAAACATATTAGTTTTTTAAATAGACACAGTATAGATCTGGTTACTGACTTGTAAATCTTAATGATTGTAAAGACAGACAGACCCAATTAGAACCTATTAAACAATAAAAATGATTTTAACATGCCATAAAAAGAGTACACTAATGGATTGGAGGAGAGTTATTACTATACATTTGATTGCATTATTTATGAAGTATACTCTAGAAACATGAAGGCCTGAGGAAATAAAATGTCTAATGTTTTTGTGAAGTCAGACATGAAAGTTACACATATTTATGATGTACGTGAATGTACAAGCCAGCCTAAATCAATAATCTGACAATCTTGGGTTCAATGAGAGTACATAGATTGTATTGAACACTTCATCATGCTATTCAGGTACAGTTTGTTAAGGAAACTCAATAGATTAAGCAACATTTATGGCACATGTATATATATATGTAATTTATTAGAGTTCACGGGTACTCCATTAGCCTTGCAAATTTCCGTGTTTTAATCTATATACAGAGATTCAGGTTGCTTCTCTGTATATACAGGTACACTTTATGTACCGGTGTACTATTGTTTGTTTTGGTGACATCACAAAGGCAACAGATGAATGTATGAGGCACGTGATAAGAAATAATTTGGCAGACGTGTTTGACCATTTAAAAATGTGGTGGGTTGGACTCACGTATTTAATAAAGTTGAGAGTATGACGTGTCATGTTTGAATGGAGTCAGTTTCCTGTGCACACGACTTTACTAAAAATTGTGACTGTTCACTAGGATGTTAATAAAAATATGTTAGTGATGTAATTGGCGTGAAAACACCTGTCCTAAACTACCTGTAGCAGTTACCTGAGATGAACTCTTCAGCTAATTTTTGGAATTACTTACAAAGCATTTCTAGAGGTTTGTTATGATCATTCATACAATTTGAGTGCAAGTAATTGTGTAAAAAATGACTAGGCAAATTTAAAATTCCTTTCATGTAATTATTTTGATATTGAAAATATGGGAATGTCTGTGGGTTACACTTTCATTTTGAGACTTGTTTATATTGAACTTTAAGTGGAATTTCCAGTAATATCCTTACTGGGTGTTTGTTAAGATAGTTCATACTGCTTTATCTTTGTAGGAAAAGATTGTCACCACAGAAGGAAGTAGAGTGAGATAACAGTGTTTTTAATGAAGTTCTCCCAACATGGGAACAAAGGTGCAAGCCCTGCAACTCTGGTGTAAGAAACAGACTGACGGGTACCGCGACGTGGAAGTCATCAACATGACATCCTCATGGAAGAGTGGCCTGGCTTTCTGTGCAATCATCCATCGGTACCGCCCGGACCTCATGTAAGTTAAAACAGCAGCAAAAAATTCAGACGTGTCATTCGAAATGAGTTTAGCTACAGTCATTAAAAACTGCCTAAGGCTTTAATCAAATTAATAATAGCTTAAAGTAATGTATAACTTTTTTTAATTTTCTCCAGACTGTATATTAAATAGGAGTAATTCTTACCAGCTAATGCTAATATTACATTGACTAAATGATTATGTGATGATGTTACAAGAGGACCCTAAGTATATATAAATATTTTTTTTAAGATAAGTGTCTTTCTCACAATATATTGCTGCTGAAATAGTTTATATATGTATTTTGCTTCAACATGTTTTTAAAAACACCAAATAATCTCTTAAGTGTATTATGCAGTTGTTAGTTGCTCAGTTATTTAATTTGCATAGCATGCATTTTTGTGGGGAGCCGTGAACACTGGTTTATACAGTGTTCACCAAGGCCAGAAAATCTTTTTGTACAATACTGCACAGATGATTGACAAATAGGATATTTTTCAGCTTTTCTATATATAGATAAGATTTCGGCCTTGAATCTGCATTACATTCATTGCAGTATATGTTTTGGTTTTTTTTTTTTTTTTTTTTTTTTTTTTTTTTTGTTGCTTTTTGCAATCATCTTTTTTTTGAAGGGGGGGAGGGGCAAAAAGAGAATTAATTATAAATGTTAATATATATTTTGATTATAGTGATTAACTTTGTAATTATCAAAATTAAGCTAAAACACAGAACTTAGGTAGGTATATGATATCTAAATATCGGTGAACTGTTAATTGACAGAAGCAGACAATGGCAGTACATTGAATCCAATACAAGTAGTATGCCATATGTGGGATGTCCAAAAGAACAAAACATTCATTGTCTGCATTGATAATGCAGTTTGTTTAAAACCCACACACATTCCTCATCAAATGTTTTAATTAGTATAATTAACTGCATGCCAGACATGCCAAAAGATTTTCTGAAAGTTGGCACAGAATTTCTGGCTGTGTTTTTGGTGTTTTATTCCATGATTATTTTTTTAAGCGTATGGCTTGACTTTGGGTCAATAATGAATTGTTATGTTATTTGCACTCTTGATTAACATATCTTTATGCAGACATGTATATATAGAATACCATTCAATAAAAGTAAATTAAGCTACAGAGAAAATATAGTCTTTATTTGGGTGTAAAATAGATCATTTAATATTGACAGTTAATGTTAACATGATTATACATGTGAAATAGCATGTAAAATTAAACTGATATTGTTGACAGCCTACCATTGATACAAGAGGAAAGATAATACAGCCATTGTCAGTTTGTTAACTTCATTCATTGCTTATTTCAGTGATTATGATGCTCTTGCCAAAGAAAATGTCCTGGAAAACAATAGCTTGGTTTGTACATATACATTTCCTGTTTTATTAATTGATTATTTGACTAATTAGATAGAGTTCATGTGGAATTTCATAGTCTGGCTTTTGGTTTATTTACTGGTTTTATTGTATCAGGCATTTGATGTGGCAGATAGAGAGCTAGGTATTCCAGCCTTGCTGGATGCTCCAGATATGGTGGCCATTAAAGTTCCAGACAAACTGAGTGTGGTGACCTATGTGTCGCAGTATTACAATTACTTTCACAACAAGCCACAATGTAAGTTTATATGTGTGTTGAAGCATTACAGTTTCTTTCACAACATGCCACAATTTAATTTTATTTAATTTGTGTCACAGCATTGCAATTCCATTCACATAAATAAATTGATATGCTATGTCTAAGTATACACAATATTTAAAGCCACAATGTACGTATGATAAGTATGTGTTAGTATTACAACAATCCACAGCATAATTAATATGGGTGTTACAGGAACTACAATATTGTTCATCATGCTTATATAAGCAGATTTCTACAGCGTTGAAGTTGCATTTATGGCAAGTGGGTTGTAACAATTATGTTTGCTACATGCACATAATAAATTATGCATATCAGTATTTTCCATTTCCTTACCACCTTTGATTCAGGTTTTACTTTTCATAAATTAGTGCCTTCTAAACAATCAGACATGAGCAATGTTCTGAGATTCCAAATAAATATGACTTTTTGGATTAAGATGGGTGGAATTTTAAGGAGTACAAATTCGTCAATAGGATAAACTTCCAGTATGAGATGACATGCTCATACACAAGTGGTACCTAAATGTTAAATATTCATATTTTTTGCATCAGAACCAGCTTAGCATAGGAAATTTTGGTCATTTTCACTAAGATTAATTGATATGTGGTGGTCATGCAAGGTTGATTACTGTTGCTTAAATAGCTCAGTTGGTAGAGCACCTGACAAGTGTTGACTAGAGTACAGGTGGCCCAGGTTCCAATCCTGGGTCCGCTGTCATAAATCATGCTGAAGTCTGAGAATGTCTGGTCTGTCACATATATATCCAAATATCTAAACTGTTGAAAAAATTTCCTACATTAGTGATTTTGTGCAATCTTTGAGTTTCAAGTTTAGGGAATTTTATGATTACATCAATGATTGTTTGCAATCTTATAATTTGTAGTAGGTGGACCTGGAGTGAAGAAGTCCGTAAAGAGGCATCAGGAAATAGACAAATCAGGTCCGGAAGCTAAGCGACAAACACTGGTCTCTGTCAATGACTCCCCGGTAAGACTCCATTAATCCCAGGGACTTCTGATATATTTACAGTGCTGTTGCTTTCTGTTTTCTTTAAATTTTGTTTTGACACTGAAGTTCATTTCAAGGACAAAATTCTTTTTGGAATATGATTTTTTTAAAGAAATACATCATTTCAAAAATTTATCAGACTAAAATACATAGAAAGACTTGCAATTATTTTGGGATAAAAATTCAAATCATTTTAATGTAAAATGTAAGTTATGTTTTTTAGATTGAAAAAAAAAGTATATAAATAAAACCATTACCTATGCACATAGGAAGTCTTAGTTTACATCTCTGCAAACATTCTTAAGCTGAATCACATTAATTGTGTTGAAATTTAGTCTGCCATGGTACCTTGGGTGGTCTTTATTGCCAACATCTAAGAATTTCAATTATGATGTTCTTATTACCTATCTTTTTTATAAGCCCTGATTTATAATACTATTGTTTATTTAACACTTTACACAATTCTTTTTACAGGCCAAAGAGAAACAAGTGTCTATGGGGGATAAGTGTGGAATTTGTAAGAACAAAGTGTTTTTACTGGAGAGACATATTGAAAATGGGAAGCTTTATCATAGATCTTGTTTTCGTAAGAGTGAACTGTCTCCTACTGCAAAAATTCTCAAAAAACCGGACTCTGAGAAATCAGATCAAAGTCGTTCACACGATTCAGAGAAGCCGGACTTCTGGAGAAGGCGCGCTGATGCTAAGAAAAATGAGCAAATCAAGAAAGAGGAGCCAAAAAAAGAACTGAAAGAAAAACATGATACAAGAACAAATAAAGCTAAATCCCTAAATTTCTCCCTTCATAACAGTGATGAACACAAATCAAGTCCTAGTGGAGTTACACACAGACAAGAAGAAAAAATGGATACTTCTGACTTAAGTGGCGATCATGAGGTGAAATCGAGAGTCGAAGCCAACTCCAATAGACCTGTACCTAAAGCTCGAAATGTGATATCATCAACAGGAAAAATTGATTCATCAGATAAAAATCAAAATGAAGTAGAAAAACGTACCTCTGTTCCAAAATTTGAGTTCAGATCCAAAATTGTGTCCGCTGCCCCAAAGGCATGCGTTGTATCTAAAATTGACACAGACAATTCCAAGCCAGAACCCTCAACAAGACACTCTGCTCCATCCAAGCCTTCGTCTCTCTCTGAATCTCCTCGAAGTTCTAAGTCTCATCAAGATGGTTCACCCCCTCCCTTACCTAAAAATCATCCACCTCACTTGCCAGTTACCTCCAAAAAAGAATCTCCAGTATCTGAGAAGAAATCTTTGTCACCGCCTTCTGTGAAATCTCCATTATCCAGTGCTGAAGTCTCTCCCAAACAAGATAGATTGTCTGAACTGTTAGCGAAAGACAACCAGAGTAGTCAGGGTAAATGGGAAGGGTTATCTTCCACAAATCAGGAATCCACACCTTTCTCTAGTAGTAATACAAAACAGGAATCTCATGCAGTTAGAAAACCTAAAGACATTAATATAAGTGATGTAAGGACAGGTAGCAGCTCTGAGCCAGTAGCTGTGTTAATGAGCCCAGTGAGTCCTGAACCACATGATCCTCAGGTCTTGGGTGGCTTATTGAAAAACTTAGCAAATGTTCGTCGTAGGAAGGATTCCAGTGAAGATGTGACATCTCCAAAGGCTAAAGATGAGCAAAGTAAAAATATAGATTGGAGAAGTAATAAAGCAAGCAGTGATACAAGAAAGGAAGTCAAAAGCCATGTATCCAGAGAGGTGAATGGAAAGACAGAGACCAGAGCTGATAAGGCCAAATCTGTGGATATTCTGTCAGAGAAAAAGTCATTCTTCAGCAACAAAAAAGAATCTGATAAGCCTGTGAAGAAGGACTTAACTGTCAGTGATGAAGAACCAGCATGGAAGAAAGCTTTGGAAGAACGTAAGAAAAAGAAACAAAGACCAAAATCTGCAGATTTGCTATCAAACAAAAAAGAGGAAAAAAGTTCAAGAAGTGTAGTGTCTATGGATGTGACGCAAGTTAAAGATGAAAGACCAGCATGGCAGATAGAAGCGGAGAAGAGAAAGGCAGCGCGACAAGGGGGATATGTGGACCCAGAAAAGGCAAAAGATAGCACTACTGAAACTTCAGTCAAAACAGAGGTTAGCGAAGTTACAAAACGTCTCATTACTCCAGGATTGATACCCAAGGATGAACCAAAAGTATCTGAGCCAGAGAAAAAGATAATATCTGTCGGGAAAAAGTTTGAATTTAAATTGCATGACCATGAAAAGGAGAAGAAAGTCACAGAGAAACCCCCTCGTCCACCCCCAATGAGCCCCACATCACTACACAAGTCTCATCATGGACTCTCTCCTGCTGTCTCCCATAAACTAGCCTCCACCAAGAAAACACCAGCCCCATTGAGGCCAACCATGCCCAGAACAGAGATCAAAACATTTGTAAGTTTTCTTCATACATACCTTTCCTTAAAATTTTCCCTCAAGTTTGAATAGTTTAAAACATGAAAGGAAAATATGTTTATTTTTAAAATTGTTCAATGAAAGCAAAAATAATGTAAAGATTCAAATCTTGAAAAAATATGGATCTTTTGGATAGATGTAAATGGAGGTTCTGAAATCAGTTGTGCTGGTAAGAACACTTAATTAGTTGTAGTTTTTTTTGTGGATTATTTGTTAACTCTATTAACCCTCAACATGCTTTTCATATGACCCTGTTTTTAATTTTTTTTTTATTGTATGAACAATATGTGTCAGTAACAAAAATATCTATGTATTTTTTACTAGAAATAGAATACCTGTATAATGTTATATGCAAGGGAACTCTTGGTATTTTATACTTTCTGAGATATTCCATTAAGATTTATACATAGTCAATACCTTCTTCAAGAGAATTATTTTTTCAAACTTGACCACATTATTTCAATTTACCATCTTCTATTTGAGATTAGATTTGCAAAAATCAACTGGAATTATGTCATGTAAAACTTCCACAGCTACTATAAATTGATTTTAAGTTGTTTTAATAATTATCTAATTTATATAGATTGTAGTATTAGAATTGTAATATTCTAATAATTTGTGCCTTTGTTTGAACTTAGAGAATGCTTGGATGACTGGTTTTTGAAATATTGTAGGGAGATATGAAGAGATTGTCACCCAAAGAAATTCAACATCAGCTGGCTGAAATTGACAGTCGCCTTACTGACCTAGAGATCAGAGGCAGAAGTCTGGAGGAGTCCATTAGAAAGGGTTACTATTTCTTATTGCTGTCTATCACAGCTGTGTTAGGGGTATTTCCAGTAAATATCCTCTGCTCTAGAAACCTGTATATCTACATATTTTATAATTGCACAAGTACCCAAGAGGTTGGACATGATAAACACATCTGTATCTATTATTACACATGCATGTGTTGGTTTTACCACTGGTGACAGTATTTAGCTTCTGAAATACACCTTCATTCCGAGGGCTATTCCTACATGTAACATGTTCTTGCCTTTTTATTTCAGTGCAATTGGCCATAGTGCTTTTCTGCTTGGTCACATTCATATTTTATTAACCCTCATCCTTTGCTTTCCCATCTAACAATTTCAGATCCATGCGGTCCCAAATCCAGAATCCAGCCACTATGGATAGAAAATTTCTAGGGTAAAGTGATTCAATGACACAACACATTTGGATACAAGTGCATGTTTTTTGTCCTTTGGTTTTGAGAAATGTCACTTACACTGTAATGTAAACTATGTGACTAACCCTGGTGTGAAAAATGACATTTAATCAATTTGAATTGCACTATTTAGGTGTGCTGTTTAACAAAGTTACCTTATTTAGGTACTGGTAGTTTAAGACTTTATCATCCATTATGGATCATATGTTCAATTTTATGGTAATATAAATTGGTCAAGTTCACATTTGCATGCAATATATGGTACAAAAACTGAATTTTTAATGAGTGACATCTTTCAAAATCAAATGATTTTTTGTGGCAAAATCTGTCAGTGAGGATGTTATTTTTGCTTTTCGGGTCACTATAGGTTATTGAACATACTATATAGGTCCATTGAGTTATAGAGAAAGGATATTGCATCTACTAGCACATGTACTGAGTTACTTCCCTTGGTAAGGAATTGCACATTATCCCATAGGCCACCAGTAGAGATTTTTTTTTTAATCCCTGTTCTTTCTTCCTGTTTAAGTTGAGACATTTTCTTGCTTTTTTTTTTTCAATGGACCAATTATTTGTAAATAATGAAATATATAATACATTATTTCTTTTACAGTGTAATAATACTTTAAATAAAGAAAGATACTTGTATTAAAAAAGCAAGATTATTTTCAATGTCAGAAAATATCTATATGTGAGAAAGTTATTTTCAAGGGGGGGGGGGGGGGGGAGCAATGGAGCTGACTGAATGACCATAATGTAAAAATAAAACATTATATATTGGACTGGGTGTGTGCATATAGGTGTATTGCAGAAGTTTCAATGGTACATTCAAAAATTGGAATATTGTCTCAGTATTAATCATGTTCGCATTCAGCACTAGTTTCAAGTATACATTTGTATTTTAATGGACTTTGTGTATCATTTTATGTCATTACTTTTTCTATATCCTTATGACAGAGAAATTTTCTCTGTTTGGAATAGTGGCTTTGGATGGTTGAATGTGGTAAATATCATTTCAGTATATTAACATTTACTGTAGACGTTACAGTACCAACCAGACCCAACCTGACACAAAGCAGTCCCAGAGCAGTCCTGGGGACTGCTTTCTGGGACTGCTCTGGGACTGCTAAAGCAGTCCCAGAGCAGTCCCAGAGCGGTCCCAGCAGTCCCAGCGGTCCCAGAAAGCAGTCCCAGCGGTCCCAGAAAGCAGTCCCAGCAGTCCCAGTGGGCGGGGTTAATTAATTTAATGGGCGGAGCTTACGGTCCCAGAAAGCAGTCCCAGCGGTCCCAGAAAGCAGTCCCAGCAGTCCCAGTGGGCGGGGTTAATTAATTTAATGGGCGGAGCTTACTCAGAAATGAGATTACCAATAAACAATGTAACTATAAAAGGCAGTTGAAATTGATGATGCATTTCTTTCTGAGCAGTGTCAACAAATGTTTACAATTCTCATGCAACAGTTATTTCTGAACTGTTAAAAAATAACACTAGGCGTATAGAAACAAATAATATTGAACAAAGAAGGCATTCACACCTACTAATAACCCAAATATTTAAAATCAGTTATGTGGTATATTAATTTTTCACCCAAATAAATCAATTTCTTAATTTACTGTGATTGATATTGGTTTCCATATTTATTTATTTTTTTATAGAAAGTTAAACTTGAGTTATTTATTTTCTATCAGAACTAGCTTTAAATAAATCTTATAATAATAGAATAAGACCGATTCCCGTACTATACTCTGAATGCATTTTTCTTAAGTACTGGAGCTTTTGAAAAATTCTTTGTTAAATTTTGCTGAGTATTATATTTCAGTTATGATTATTTTCACTGACTTGCCAATTTTATTATGATCGTTAGATTCTCTATGTAACAGAAAACAATAACACTCTTATTATATATAAACGTTCGAGTGTACATCTGTAAATCACGGGAATGGAACCCTCAGATTATGTTCAAAATAAATTAATCCCGAAATAAATTTATACACATTTATTGAAACAAAGATTTTTTGCAGTGCATAGATTAAAATTAGTGTCATTGTTGACCAGCGTGTTCAGTGATGTGTAACACTGATACCCAAAATAACATGCATTGACTTTCTGCTAATCTTGCCCAAAGGCGATTGAAACCTCAGGTGTTGACACCATTTTATACATCTGTATTGCTTTTTATTATTTGGCCAGGAAAACACAAACAAAACAAATAAGAAATAAGTCACAATTCCCAATATTTTCAAGTGTTTATTTATTTTTTTTTTTTTTTAAATAAATTTACTCTTTTAATTACTTGTTTATAAATCAAAAACAAATTCATAAATAAATCCCCCAATAATTGTTCACATTGTTTAAATGACTAAAGAATGGTAGAATAATTTTACTTCATTGTCATTTAAAAAATTATTAGGTTTTATTTGAGGGCGGTAAAAAAAATAGCCTGCTCTTTTTTAGCATGGTTTTAGCCTTTTCAATTTAAAAAAAATCCAGTACAGTATGTCCCTCTGAATATCTTACTGTAATGACAAGTTTGTTTGTTTTCTAAATAGTGCTAATGCAAAAATTGAGTACATAATTTGACAGCATTAATTAATTAAATAGGCCTAAATTTTAAAAAAAAAAAACACCTGTATTGAAGTTTTAATTAGCATTAATTAATTAAATAGGCCTAGATATATTTTTTTTCAGACACCTGTATTAAAGTTTAATTTAAGGAATAAAAGTCATCTCCTGACTTCCCTTTTTAACTACTTTCTTCCCTTTTTAACTACTTTCATTTTTTAAAATTAATTCTACACTACAATTGTGTAACTTTACAGCCCCTGAAGACATTTAGTAATTACATGTAAATCTATCTCTACTTATTAAAAAATTTCTAAGAAATCCTTGGGTTTTTTTTTAATTCTTTATCTTAAACACCTCTCTGCTGAAAGTAAACAAAACAACAACAGGGAGCCTGCAAATTCAGAATACACAAGGGGCGGAGCTATCATGTCACTCAGAACCTTTTTCATGCATGAGTGAACAAAGCAGTCCCAGAAAGCAGTCCCAGGGACTGCTGGGACTGCTGGGTCTGCTTTCTAGAGCAGTCCCAGAGCAGTCCCACAGCAGTCCCACAGCAGTCCCAGAGCAGTCCCAAAGCAGTCCCGGGGACTGCTTTCTGGGACTGCTTAGGTGTCAGGTTGGGTCTGGTTGGTACTGTATCTCTGTTCACTAATTATTTAAGGAAGGATACATTTCATTTGCACTAGCTTTTGATATACATTTTCAGTGGAAGATTTCAAATTATGGTAAAAAACTACTGTATCACCAACTTTGTGTTATGTCAAAAAACTACTGTAAACCAACTTTTATTTGTATGATAGTTTGGTGACCGTCTTTTAAATCGTGAATGTTTCTAGTTGCAAACCATTTAATATCATAGTAAATGTATTTATTTACCAGGTAGAATGTTTCTGCAGTTGCAAAAAAAAATAATAGTCATGAAAAGCTTTCAAAATGATGAATTGCAAATAATAGTTGGTCTACTGTATATTGACTATGTATTTTTATTGTTCATTAATTCAATATGTATCAGTATATGCATCTACAGTCATTAACTAGGAAGTTTATGGTACATGTGCTCTTAATAATGTTAATCCATAGAAAATCCTAAGCTTATGGGATTATGTTTTATTGATAATTCATTGATGATTCTCCATCAATCAATATGATTTGGACACTTCTATGAAGAAAAGAATATTTGGAAAGAAATTCAGTATTTCAGGTATACATTTGGCAGACATCATATACACATCCAAGCGATCCTTGACTAATCTAAATCATGGTGATTTTTATCAAATATATTTGCCACAATTGTAACATTATACTGCTATGAAGACTAGCCAATCACTCTATATAATAGCATAATTATAAGTAGCACGAGTGTGTTACAAAAGCAAGTTAATCACATATTTTGTATTTTTTTTAATCACATATATACACTGGAGGAGATTCTAACTGCGTTAAGTCCTGTTGTTTTGGGCCCTCTTTCATACTGTTCACATGTATCATTTATACTTGTAGATCACAGTGAGGAAGAGGATGAAGGGCTGATGATAGAATGGTTCAATCTCGTCAACGACAAGAACGAACTCGTCCGAACAGAGGCTGATCTTATTTATGTGTAAGTAGACCATTGTGGTGAATGGTAATAACTATGATTAATTAACTGATTTCTGTAATTGTATGCTAATGAGGCTATAAGAATATTCTGGGGTTAAGTTATTTTGTTTTACTCACCATGCACCTACAGACTAATGATTTGATCCTCCATAAGAAAGCAAAATAATTGTAGTTTGGACACAATTTCTGTGTAACATAGTGTGATACACAGTGAAGTACATGAAATAAATGTCTGATATTGTGTTATTGTAGATCTAGAGCACAAGAACTTGAGGATCAACAGCATAGAATTGACAGGGAGCTTCGAGAACTCCTCACTAAAGAAGGTAAGAGTTTCTGTCATTGTGCCTCTGCTGTTGAAAATGCTATCCATGTTCACCTACACATGTATCCTGATTAATTCAGGGTTTCTGAATCACGAAGTTATAATGCTTTATCAGAATTTCCAGTGAATATAATTTTGAGAGCAAAAATGACATTCTGTGATTAGACCAACATCTGTTTATTTATTACTCTCTGAATTAAAAGAAAAAAAAACAAAAATTTCAATTTATTTTTGTCATGGCAGGATGGCATGTATTGATAAATGTTTGCTACATATTTATATTAAATTATAATATCATTGCTTAGCTGCACTTCCTCCTTTTCAATTGATAAGCTCATGACAGTTTAATGATCAATATGTTTAACTTCCTTTACTTGAGAAGTTTTGGAGTGATCTTTGATAGTTAGTAAGTAGTGTGTTATTGTTTTAACAGAGGACAGAAAAACGGAGGAGGACAAAGAGCAGGAGGAGTTACTCCTCCAGCAACTGGTGGACGTGGTCAACCAGAGAAGTCTGATAGTGGACTGTCAGGACGAGGACCGCATCAGGTACTGCTCAGATTGGCTGGTCAGGGAGCTGGGTAACGACTGGACAAGATCACTTATCACTGTGCAATGTTCATCGGGTGTTGTTTGATACTGAATCAAGTTCATGCTAAGCTACTCTATAAACAAAATGATTTTATTTTTATGCACATGACTGTAGGTCAGTGTTAATATATTTTATATTTGTTTGTTTATATACAACTGTTACTTTGGTCACCAAAAATGGCAAGGTTTGTTACCGATTGTCTACAAATATTAGTTGGGTTAAGGACCAAAACTCTAAGTATGGAAATACACTGTACAGTCAAACCTTGTTATCTTGAACCCAATGGGATAGAGAAAAAACTTACATAGATATCGGACGATTCAAGACTGAGGTTAGAATACATAAAAGTGATTAGGACTTAGATAGCAAATATGTGTGATTTCTCAGAGTGTTATTTTGGTCCAAGGCAAAAAAATTACATGTATAATATATACCAGTAGATCTCCAGTATGTTCAAGATTAATGTTACTGCTTCAGGACAATGGCAGATGTACTCAAAGTTCTAGGAAAAAAAGACTTTACCAACATACTGTATCTATGTATTTTTTAGTGATGACAATCCCAATGCAGAATAGATTACAGTTTTTGTATCTGATTACCATCGTTCTGACTGAGTAACCAGTTAACCGGCCACAAATTGCCATTCCTAGTATTTTTCAATTTTAGCTGAAGGATAATGTTTGACAATTAGATCTGTTTAATTACAGATATGAGGAAGAGGACCGTGATATTGCAGAAATTTTAGCCAAAAAAGGTGAGTTCTTCAAAAAATGCTCAGCTTGATAGATGAAAAGTTTGGATTTCATTTGCTTCTAATACTAAAACTTCAGTGCTGATAGCGTACTACATTTGAAATTTCTAGTTTTGCACTTGCTTTTACTCATAACTTAAATTTTCTTTTTAGTAGAAGAAAAATTGCAAAGATTTTCATGAACTTACCATGGGCTTTTATGCATATATTCATTAAGTCATGCAGTAACTGTGTACACATTGTTTTAGGATTTTTGAAAGCAAAGAATTGGTAAATTTTGTTTACCCCTGTTTATCCAGTATATCTGCATTAATTAATACAGTACTATTTATTATGTTTACAAACCAACTCACTAAAAATAACTTTGCACCAGCTAGTTTTGTGTTCACCTACCCTCAATGTTAAGTTGGGAGGAGGACGGTGCCCAGAAAGTGCATCCAATTTTTTAAAATAAAATATATTAAAGGGGGAAAATCTTGAGAAAAATAAAATATAGTTTGAAGTTCACCTGAGGTCAGGATGGGGTCAACTGTGGGGTTCCATAGTTTAGCGTAGGAATATAAGACTCACTCAAGAACAAAACTTTCAGGTTCGTCATCCCTTTGAACACTCATATAAAATCTTTCTTTAATGATCATGATTTTCCAAATGAGATCCGAATCATAATTCAGATGCAAACAATTTCAGCATACCTTGAAGTGCGAAATTTGACAGAAATTGTCTTTTAACTTAGCATTTTTTATTGAATCATTGTCATGAATCCCAGTGAGAGTTATCTTTCTTATCAGAGGGTCAGTGAACCTTAAGTTGTTAAGTGCATGCAAGCATCATTATATACTGCAAAAAGAATTTTAGAGGTTAAAAGGATTTTTCACAAGAAAGGTTGATTAACAGTGAAGCTTTGTTTTTTTGGTGACATTGCATTTGTTTGGTGGTGACAAGTTGCATTTGTTTGTTTGATGAATGTTACTTTCAATAGTATAGTGACGTGTGCTTATTGTAGGGTTTGGTGTATGTGAAGCAGGCTTGGGGTAATGCTAAATGTAATGGTAATGCATTGCAATGCATTACTTGAACTCAAAGTAATGCTAGTAATGTGTAATGCCCAAAAAATTGCATTACATGTAATTGTAATGCATTACTTTCTCAAATCCAGAGTAATGCTGGCATTACATAGCATTACAAAGCATTATTTTGTATATGCCTATTTTGAAAAAATAAGAATTGACATGACAACTATTGTTTAGATTAAATGATTTTTTAAATGATAGAAATGAATGAAAAAAGGTTAACCTATCTAAATAAACTCTCTGTATCTATTTAAATACACTTTATATTCTGTTGAAAGTACAATTACCATACATTAAATTTTCATATCTATTTTAGATAACATTTAATTTCAAAGAATATTTAAAAGAGTTTTAAAAAATTCCTTTAACAAAATAATTCTGGGATGAGATACACTAATTAATGTACATTGTAAACTGATAATTGCCACCTTTTGAATAGTGTCATCAAAACACACAATGCCACTAGGGTTGGGTAACAATTAAAACAAAGTATTGTTTTGAGAACCCAAAACCAGTCCCTTTCCCTGGCTGTGTTTATGAAACATTAATTAATTGAGCTGGTTTACTTTGAGCTGACCATGACAAATCCATTGTACCAAAAGGAATAGAAGACAGGCATTCTACTTTTAGCAGAGCAAAATGTACATACTGTCCAACCCTTTTTAAAAGTTTGTCTATGCATTAATTTTTTTTCATAAAATACCAGATCGAAACGATCTATTTCTTATTAATTTAGATAGTTTTTGGGAGGGGTCAAAGTGCCCCAGAACTAAATTGCTTTATGACATCAATATAGTTGCACAAAAAAGTGCATACTTTACGTTTTTATCTTATTGGCAATTGAAAAGTTCGAACTTCTTATGAATAATAAAAAAAATATGTAAGTTATTTACAGTGTAATAAAAACAAGTACTTGAAATCAAATTTGAATTAACATTCAAGTTAAGTTTTGAATGGGTGCATGTTAATGAAAATAGTTGCACGTTTTGTATTTCTATTTTTGAAAAACCCCAAAGGTAATGGTAATTGTAATGCATTACTTTGCTAAAGTAATGGTAATGTAATGCATTACTTAAGAAATTAGAGTAATGGTAATGGTAATTAAATGCCCAAATTCTTGAAGTAATGGTAATGTAATGCATTACTTTATAATGTAATTCGCCCCAAGCCTGATGTGAAGTCATCAATTTATACAAGTAGTGACATATGTGCTGAAAATGTATTGTAATGAGAAAAAAAAAAATCAGTCTTCCTTTAATTTACATCCATTGGTTAATATGCAAATTTCAATTTAAATTTATTTAATAAAATTACTTTTAGGTTAAATATTCTAAATTTAAATTAATTACTTGCCATCTGCAAGTATAGTTTAATAATTTTTGTTCAATAAAAAGTTATGTAATCATATTTAAGTTTACATTAGAAATTAGTATTGGACTTATATAATAAGGATTGTAAAAAGGGTTTACCTCATGAATTTGTATAGCTTAGTATTGTGTCTGCCTGCAGTATATCATATATCAAACTTCATGTGCATTTCTTATGTAAAAGACAGTGGTTATTATGTATCACAAATTTATGAACTGAAGAAAACAGCTAGTGGTCTTTAATTGTAACATAAAATGATTTCAATAAGCATTTTATTTTATCATTCTGATGAAGATATCAACTGATAGTTAAGATAACAGATTTTAGGGGGTAAGGATGTGTTATCAAATGTCTTTAACTGTTCTTGATATACTTCAGAGTTCTGTAAGAAAACACCACCAGAAAATTCCACAGAGGAGGTCAGGGAAAAAACTAAGGAAGAAAAGAAAGCAGAAAAGAAAAAGAAGAAGAAACACAAAAAAGAGAAGAAAAATAAGAAAGAAGTGGAATAACTCATTGACCATGTAGACAGTTGTATAAGATCAGTCCTTAGGTAACAGCTGACGGGCATCGTTGTTGTATGTTAACTTATTTTGACTTTTGATAGAATTAATACCCGGTAACTGAATGTGAAAAAAATTGAGAATAACACTTTATTCTTTTACCATCAGAGGATTTGTAAGGTCAGACAGTGAGTGCGAGCTGGTGAAGTCATGGATTTTTGAGAAAGAAATCAGAACAGTTTTTACATCATATCTTTGAGTGAATGTGATATCATAGATTTATATATAAATTTCTGTTAGTTATCTCTCAGTCGTATGGTGATGTGATGAAACTAACATTAGCATTCCATGTTTCTGTTACATCTTAGTAAACATTGTATATTTAGATGGATGTTGATACAAGTATTTTAAATATGAGATTTATTGTTTTAAAAAAATATAACAAAGATTTCTCTTTATAAAAACAAATCCAAGCACAATTATGCACACATTCCATGTTTAAATGTTTTTAAACTGCAAGCCAAATTCTACTTGAGTCACCAGATAAAAATCCCTTCCTTGTTTTAATTTTTATGATGTAGTTTAGCTTCCTTAGAACATATACATGTATCTACTGCGTGATTATTAACAAATTATTGCCAGGCTAGAGCCAGTACAAATTATAAATCTGTTTTTGACATAGTTAAGTTTATTAGACAATACATTCCACTTAAAGTCATTTTATTTTCCTATAAATTGCAAACAACATGTTTATTGTGAAATAATATATGTTGAAAATTTATATATATTATTCAAATTAAGTATGTATTTGAAATGTAGATCATTCTCTGAAACTTTTATACTGTTAAACATGCTATAGCCTAAAGGCTGTGAAATGTGTTGAGGGTGAAAAAATGTTTTGATATATATGTACATTTAAATATTTCAGTATATTTTATTTGAAACTATTCTATAAGAAACTGTTTATATTCTAACATTCCATTTCTACATTGCCCAAAATTATTTGCATTGACAATATTTTCTCATCAAAATAGATTTATGAAAGAAAAAGTATTTGAATGTTGCAAGTGAATATTTTTTGAATCTGAGCATTATTATACTTCCCAAGGATTTTCACAGCCATTCATATTTTGTGTACATAGTAGACAGTAACTTGATATGATGTGTGCTAGTAGGATAACGTAGGTGCTAAATTGTTAAACTAGTCAACAAATAAACTTGATAAAAATATGTTCCTGTCAGCACAACATTCATTGAGAGAAGAAACTGCTGGTCAGTTTCAACTCACATTTCGACCACATTATATGAATCATGCAGATATCTATGTATGCAAGTTGTTTCCAGTTGTTCTGTGCAGTGAAGCAGATGTTATCTCAAAGAGACTGGGAATCTTTTTTTTTTTTGATTTTCTGTTTTTTAACATGCAGATACATGTAGATATTTTAACAGAGATATTGTTTTCCTTCGAGTCTGAGTATTATATAACCAGTTACTTCATGTAGTGGTTCAAGTGTAGCTGTACTAATGTTTGATGACTGTTTTATTGTAAAAATATCCACACGCTAGCCAGCAAAGAACAAATTTTATATGCTATGCAATGTTTTGTATTTTATCCTGAGCTTTAAGTTTCAATAAAAAAAGACTGTTTTTGGTGCCATTATTATATATATATATATATATATATATATATATATATATATATATACATGTACCTGTATATACATGTCATTTGTGGCCTCAAGGACTGATGTTCAAATCATGAAATTATATCCCCCTTTGAGGGGTAGGGTATAGTACACTGTATGCTAGTACCTCAATTATTATGTGCAGCTCTCTTCATGCCTATTCATCTATTTATTTCTGTAGATCCAATTTTAATAAAAGCAGTTAGCTTTGTACATGTACCCAGCTAGTCAGAAGTGGAACATGTATCCAAACCAAACTTGCAAATACCGGTACAGTATTTATGGAAGCTCTTCTGATACTGATATATTAATAATCTGATGCTGCATTGGACTTACAGTTCAAGCTTTATTAGCTCACCTGATCTGAAAGCTCAAATGAGCTCTTATGATCACCCATCCATCATCTGTCCGTCTATCTTTCCGTCCGTCTGTAAACTTTTCACATTTTCAACTTCTTCTCAAGAACCACTGGGCCAATTTTAAGCAAAGTTGGTACAAAGCACCCTTGGGTGAGGAGGAGTTTAAATTGTTAAATTGAAGGACCAAGCCCCCTTACAAGGGGAGATAATCTAGAGAAGACAAAACTAGGGTGGGGTCATTAAAAAATCTTCTCAAGAACCAGTTGGCCAGAAAAGCTGAAACTTTTGTGGAAGCATCCTTTGGTAGTGTAGATTCTAAATTGTTCAAATCATGACCCGCGGGGGTATGGCGGGGCCACAAAAGGGAATCAAATTTTTACATTGAAATATATAGGAAAAATCTTTAAAAATCTTTTTCTCAAGAACCAGTGGGCCAGAAAAGCTGAAACTTATGTGGAAGCATCCTGGGATAGTGTAGATTCTAATTTGTTCAAGTCATGTCCCCCGGGCTTTGTTGGAGCCACAATAGGTATTACATGGGGGAAAATCTGGTGAAGAACAGCAGGGCCAAAGTTACTAAGGTGAGCGTTGTAGCCCATGGGCCTCTGGTTGACCTTAGTTAACGATAGTTGTTTTTGCCTGCTATAACCTTTATTGCATCAAATTTCAAAGATTACATAGCTCATCTCAATGAATGTTATCTATAAGCAAATCCAAGGTCTCGCACTTAATCTGTGTTCTTGTAGTGTGCATCCCTAGATGCAAAATTTAAGCAAGTTTCACCTGGGAATGGACTTGCCCCAAAAATATTTCTGTTTAGTCATCTGGTAAATGTTAGCAAGATTCAGCATCTGAACCAAGTCTGGTAGGCCTTGTTAAGCACCATAATTCTAATACAACTATTTTGTAAAACGCATTTTGATTGGCTAAGCTCTAATTGAGCATGAGTTAAATGAGCATTAATGAGGGGGAAAGGTTTGGAATAGAACAACACCAAAATGCAACACTTTGCTACATATTTCATGTTTAAAAAACTCAACAAAGTGATATATAAACAAAGAAAATGAATAAATTGCATTCGAACGGAAATAACTTAGTTTTACATTTGTTATTTGTGACCATTAATGCTGATCTAATCCATTTTACTGGTAAAACTCGTTTTCCAACCTTTAAATTGGCATTAAATGGTTGCAGATAACAATTAAATGAGAAGACAATTATTCCTAATTGCTTGCCAACATGAAAAAATGTTAAATCTAGACCCTCTTAACATAAGCAAGTATCTTTCACACATTTAAAATGAAGAATAATAAAGAGAAATACGAGTATGAAAACTTCTATATCCACATGGAAGTATTGGTGATCAGTTTTCCATTTTAGAACATACACATGTTCATCCATTCACATTTTATCATAAATAACAAATAATCCTTTGTAGACTTCTATTTAATTTATTCTACGAAAATTGTAAACAAAAATCAAAAAATATATTGCAGAATTGTGTATCACAGAAGAGATGATATGCAACAGTAAAACATGATTACAGCAAAGCCCTGTGAACAGGGTTAATTGGTGTTTTCATAATGAACATGGTCACTACTACATAGATATCATAAAATATGAAGAAAAATAAAGAGTAGAAAATTAAAACACACATGAAAAGGATATTATGCAAACTAATAGGAATTTATATTGTAAAATATGTCTAATTAAATGCATGTTACAAAAAGGATTTAATGTATTGCTACAATGTATATATTCTTTTACGTCATGTTTTATATAGTATCACAGATAGAAGTATTATCACACTTAGGAATGTGTTTGGCCGCTGGAATTCTACAGTTCCTCGTGTGTTGTCTGTTTGGTGGGCTTTATCATCTTAACATTACTTCCTGGTATGATATCAAAATCATCTGTCTCTCTGTTATATACAATTCCTCCTTGCTACAAATCAGATAATTGATTAAATTATAGCTACGTTACTCCTTTGCTACAAAATTCCCATTTTGCCTAAGTACTTATTTTACCTTTTCTTACCTGTATTTCACATTTAAGGCAAAATGGGAACACACCTTTTAATCTAGCGAGCCTTGATTACCTCTAAATCAGCTTAAACAGATATGTGAAAACAGAAACTTGTCAGCATTCAGAGGCCTTTCTTTTCTTTTTATATTGGATTTTAGGGAAATTCCATTCAAATTTACATGTAAGCTTATTTTAATTTTTTCAATTAACTGATTACAAATTTTCTAAAAGTTTGCCATTGTTCCGACCGACTGTCAGGTTAGCCAATTAGAAACTGCCATCCCTAGTATTTTTACAGGCTTAATGGAAAATATTAACTTAGCTTGACCTACATTTACCTTACTTGCCCAAAATAAGAGATAAACTGCAAGAATGAATACAAAATTTGTCACCATATATTGCTTTTTGGTACATGTATCTTGAAAATCTAAAAGGAGGGTTTTTTCACGTAAACACACTAAACGTAAACTACTAAACCAGTTCACCAACCAAAACTGATGGAGTTTTTTTTTTTGCCAAAATTTAGGGAAATTTCTAAATTTATGCCTTAGAAATGTTGTTTTGGTAATTACAGCACAGCTAGTATCTCCAATAAAAAAAAGACTCTTCTGTAAAATATGGAAAGGAATTTTCAAAAGTAATATGCATTCAAAATCTTCTTTACTTCAAATTGATTAAACAACCTCAAGTCATAAATAATTTCATCATGAGAAGGTGCATCTTCTCTCCTTAGATTCCAGTAGACACTTACAGGTATTTCTTGGGTAAGTAAGAATTTTTAAAGGGGAAATACTCACTTTAGGGACCTCCTCAGTGTTGACTGCTCCGCCAGGACAGGAGTTGGTCACCTCGTTACAGATTGTTTGAACTATATCTAGGTAAGAGTGGTCTTTGCGACTTTTGGCATTGTAGTAGTTAATTAAGGTAGACTCTATAGCTGTTCCATTGTTTTCTACAAAACAACCATACTTTCTGTTTCAAATTCTAAAGAAATTTTTTAATTTATAAATAGTCATAGGATATCGTATGGTTCACTTAAAAATTAAAGATTTCTTAGGGCTATCTTTTAAGCTTAAGATGTACAAATCCTGGATTTTGTCTTGAAAAAATTCTTCTGTTCATATACTGCTACGTAAAACACACTTTTTACGAATGTTTTCTAAAATGAAAATCTATTTCATGCAGAGTAACTATGGAGAGGGTCATTTGGAGATTATAATTCTAAATCTAGACAAACAAATTACGAAGTCTCAATTAAAAAAAAATGTTTTTAATATCTCACTTATGTTGGCCAGTTTTACACAGGAAAATGATCTATATATATATATATATATATATATATATATATATATATATATATATATATATATATATATATATAAAAGCCTTTTGAAGTGACATTTTTTGAAGCAAAAATGTACATTATAATGGTGCAATGCAAGACCATTTCCACACAGTTTCACCTGATATAGAATATTTTAGTCTGGCTACATGTACCACATTTTTAATAACGTACACTACATGGTGATATCAGACATCACTTGTCAATTAAGTTATGTACCACCTTCCTAAAACATGTACATACTCATTATTAATTTGCAGGCTTCCTCGATGACTGATGGTGTAATATCATAGTGCTTAAAGTTTTCCTTCTGACAGACAGTTGACATCAATACTGGAACTCGTTTGTTGATTGGGTCATTTGTTGTATGCTTCAAAGTCCTGGACAATTCTATAAGTCAATCATAAAGCTCACATTTTAATCTTAATATCAGCATTCAGTATTATAGTATGGTAACTTTAAAAAAGCTCATTTAAGATATTCAATTTTGTGCAAACAAAAATTTTTAACCCGAAGTTAAATTAAAGAATATATTTGTTGAAGATCTACGCAGTAATTGTAATACATAGTCAACATGTACCTTTCACGGTGGCCTGACATCCCGCACAAAGACCAGCTACAAAAAAAGAAAAATCTTATAATTGATCATGCTGTGTGACTTTAATTTTCTTGTTGAAATGAATCAAAATACAGAAACTAATATTGAACATGCAGGTTCGGACCAATACCCCAAGTGGGATATAATAGCCCCATTCGGGATATGATATCCCAAATGGGATATATATAAATTTACAGTGCCAAAAAAGAAAAATTTTCATTTTGGTTATAAATATAAATCCGTATCAATTAAGATACTTATAATTAAAGGAATAACTTTTGGTTAACAAGTTTTTCTGTATGCCCACTGTTTAGGAGAATGATCCCTTGGAAGTTCCTAAACTTCTTGGGGATCAACTTAAAGAACTGTAGGGTTGCAGAAAAAAGTTATTCCTATTTTATGTAAATTTGATGCAGATTTATGATATTTAAAGCCAAAATTTAATTTTTTGCACAGTAAATTTATATCCCATTTGAGATATTATATCCCAGACAGGTTATTATATCCCATTTGGACGATTGATCTCAACCTGTTGAATAACTTTTGGGTTCTTGTGTTATTAAATCCTGCATGTTAAGCATTTTCAAGTTACGAGGTTTCTTACTTACCCGGTGTAAGCTTTGAATCTTTGGAATTCTTTCCTGTCTTTGCTGCCACCAAACTGACAAAAAACAGAGATAAAAAGACTTTTTTAAGCATGGTACTTGTTGTAATGCCTGGCTTATTCAAGTTATTGTTGTTGTTTACTATACCACCGGAAATACACGTGTACAAACTAGAGTGTGCGCGGTAGGCAATGTGTACACAGGTCACGTGCTACCCATTTGGGAATTTGGAATTTCGAAATTGAAAACTATGGAATCCGAATAGGGCCATGTAATCGGAAAACCGGGGTTTTGCTAATTACACAAAAAATACCACAGGCACCTGACGAATGGATGATGCCCCCTACCCCAGTCCTTCTGAGAATTTTCATTAGACACGATAATTAAGCAATTTTTGCTTCAAGGACTTCTCTATTAAATATTACAGGCATTTTATTAATATTGTTTATTACCAAGAAAAATACATTTTATAGGTTTAAGGAATATGTATACATGATTCAATTTGTACAAAAGTATATAACACACCGTAATTTTGAATATTACAGACAAGAGGCCCAAGGGCCTTAACGCACATGAGTCAGTAAAACAATAATGAACGATCCATAAATTAAAACAAAATAAGCAGACAAATAAAGCTATGTTGCCCAAAAGCAAGAGAAATATGATCGGGGATCAGCAAAATATTAATTTAGTACTCAATAACAAATCTTAAAGTTGATTTATATATTTGTCTGTACTTAATTTTAAAATTACCCCCACTTGTCACTATCCTCATGCAAACTATTCAAAACAATAGTTCCAGAGCACTATTAGTTAACACATTTCATTCCCCCTCACATTGGCCTCTCTTAGTCATTGAAGATTATTTATTGTACAAAGATACGGTATTTTTGTCCCATTTTCATTTATCTATTATTTAAAAGTTTACCTGACCATTCAAAACTATTGTATTAAATATATATTTTTTAAAAAATTCTGTTATAAAATGACCTTTTAAGTTATATTGCTTACAGTGATTAACTATTATAGGTGAATAACAAGGGGGGGAATAACTTCTTTCAGTAGAAATTAATAAATTGACCAAAGGGTACAGAATTTTCAAAATCTGAAAAAAAACACTCTTGCTTATTACAACTTTTTAAACTCTTTTTGTCTCCTAGATGCTCAGGAGCAGAGAAGATTTTCAAGCAATATAGCCCCACCCTTATACTAAAGCCCCTGACCCAGGGGCCAAGATATTTGCCATTTGGAAGAGGCACTCTTGCTCATTATAACCATGCACTTAGTTTGTTTCCTTAAAAACAATGGACATAGAAAAAAGTTTTCAAAACAAGAGGCCCATGGGCCACATCTCTTACCTGAGCACTGAGGCTAGGAAAAAAGCAAAAATCAGCTCAGTATTGAAAAGTTTAAATACATAAGTGGTCCCGGCCTACCCCTAAAATGGGGGGGGGGGGGTGTTGTATGATTTGAGCAAAATTGAATCTACACTAACTAAGGATGCTTACATATTTCTTTGACTAACTGTGCCTTTTTTCCTACACGTTTGAACTTTTATTGTGGTCCCACCCTGTCCTGGGGGGGGGGGGGAGCTTCATGATTTGAACAAATCTGATTCTACACTATCTGAGGATGCTTCTACATAAATATGACCAATCATGGCTTTGCTGCTCTTGAGAAGAAGATTTTTTCAAACAAAAAAAAATCCTATGTATTCCTGTGTATAACTTTGATCATCAATTGTGGCCCCACCCTATCCCCAGGAGGTCATGATTTGCAAACATGAATCTACACTACCTTAGGATAATTCCAAATAGTTAATAACTAATCATGTCTTTGCTGCTCTTGAGAAGAATATTTTTCTTATATACTCCTGTATAAAACATTGATCGTCCATCGTGGCCCTGCCCTACCCCCGGGGGACATGATTCTTACAAACTCGAATCTACACTACCTGAGGATACTTCCATATAAATATAACCACTCAAGGCTTTGCTGTTCTTCAGAAGACGATTTTTAAAAGATTTTTCCTATACATATTCCTATGTAAAATTGTGGCCCCACCCTACCCCTGGGGGTCATGATTTGAACAAATTTGAATCTAAACTACCTGAGGATGATTCCACATGAGTTTCATCTCTCCTGGCCCAGTGGTTCTTGAGAAGAAGATTTTTAACAGATGTCATTAATTTTTCACTAATTTGTAATTATCTCCCCTTGTAAGAGGGCATCCCCCCCCCAATTGAACAAACTTGAATTCCCTTCACCCAAGCATACTCTGTAACAAGTTTGGTTGAAATTGGCCCAGTGGTTCTGGAGAAGAAGATGAAATTGTGATAAGTTAACGACAGACAACAGACAAATTTCGATCAGAAAAGCTCACTTGAACCTTTGGCTCAGGTGAGCTAAAAATAATGCATTTCTACTATATACTCAAAAGAGCATCACCCAAACACCAACATCCCTGACTCCGGGGTTAAGAATTTCAAAATTTCAAACTTTTTAAAAGGATTTCCTCGCTCGTCATAACCATGCAATTAGTTATCAGGGGCTAAAATGATTTTCCAAATAAATGCATTTCCACTATATATTAAATATCCCCCCAAACATGAACCCCTGACTCTGGGGCCACAAATTTCATAATTTTGGCAGAGGCATCCTAGATCATCATAACCATGCACTTAGTTTATCTGCTAAATACCTAGGAGCATAGAAGATTTTCAAAGAATTAATGCAATTTCCCTATAAAATCAATAGAGCCCCGTCCTTACACCAGAACCCCTAACACAGGGACCAAGATATAAACAATTTTGGAAGAGTTATACTTGGTTCTTGCTCATCATAACAACATACTTGGTTTACCTGCTAAATACCCAGGGGCAGAGAAGAAGATTTTCAAAGAATGCACTTTTACTATGTAGTCAATATAGCCCCACCCTAACTCCAGAACCCCTGACCCCGAGGCCAAGATATAAACAATTTTAGAAGAGGCACCCTTGCTCATCATAACTATATACTTGGTTTATTTGCTATATACCTAGAAGCAGAAAAGAAGATTTTCAAAGAAATAATGAACTTTCACTATATAATAGAGCCCCCCCCCCCTACGCAGAACCCCTCACTATCAGGCCACAAATTTCACAATTTTTTAAGAAGCACCCTTGATAATCATAACTATGCACCTAGTTTATCTGCTTTATATACAGGGGGAGAGAAGAAGATTTTTAAAGAATTTATTCATTTTCACTATATGATCAATAGAGCCCCACTCTAACACCAGAACCCCTGACCCAAGGGCCAAGATATTCACAATTTTGGAAGAGGCGCCCTTGCTCATAATAACTATATACTGGTTTATCTGCTATATACCTAGGAGCAGAGAAGAAGATTTTCGAAGAAATAATGCACTTTCACTATATAATCAATAGAGCCCCACCCTAACACCAGAACCCCTCACCATTGAGCCACAAATTTCACAATTTTGGAAGAGGCACCCTTGTTCATCATAACCTTGCACCTAGTTTATCTGCTTTATATACAGGGGAAGAGAAGAAGATTTTTAAAGAATTTATTCATTAGGTCACGTGAGTCACTCAGGTGACCTATTGCTATCTCTTTTCATCCGTCGTCGTGCGTCGTTAACATTTGTACATTTTCAGCTTCTTCTCTGAAAGGGCTGAACAAATTTCAACCAACTTTATCATATAGCATCTATGGGTGAAGGGGAACAAAAATTGTTAAATTCATGACCCCTGCCCCCCTGGGGCCTGAGGGGAGGGGCTAAAACCATCAAAATAAATGCAATCTTTAAAAATCTTCTTCTTTACTCCTGGACATCAAGCAGTCAAACTGTTAGCATGATTGTAATTAGAATTGAACCCTCTACCGAAATTGTGAAATTCATGACCCCAGGGTCAGGGGTTCTGGTGCTAGGGTGGAGCTCTGTTGAATATATAGTGAAAATACATTATTTCTTTTAAAATCTTCTCCTCTTCTCCTGGGTATTAAGCTGATAAACTAAGTGCATAGTTATGATGATAAAAGGTGCCTTTTCCAAAATTGTGAATTTCGTGGCTCCAGGGTCAGGGGCTCTGGTGTTAGGGCGAGGCTCTATTGATTAAATAGTGAAAATACATTCATTCTTTGAAAATCTTCTTCCCTGTTCCTGGAAATTTTTAAAATAAACTAAGTATAAAGTTATGATGAGCAAGGGTGTCTCTTCCAGAATTGTGAATTTCATGGCCCAGGGGTCAGGGGTTTTGGTGTAATAGGGTGGGGCTCTATTGATTTTAGAGTTAAAATGCATTAATTCTTTGGAAATCTTTTCTTCTCCTGGATATAAAACAAGTGAACTATGTGCATAGTTATAAAGAGGCAGGGTGTCTCTTCCAAAATTTTGAATTTCATGGCCCCTGGGTCGGGGGTTCTGGTGCTAGGGTGGGGCTCTATTGATTATAAAGTGAAAATGCATTAATTATTTGAAAATCTTCTCCTCTGCTCATGGGCATTAAACCAATGTACATGGTTATAATGAGGAAGGATGCCTGATCCAAAATTGTAAATTTTATGGCCCCTGGGCCAGGTGTACTGGTGTTAGGGCGGGGCTCTATTGATTATATCGTGAAAATGCATTAAATATTTGAAAATCTTCTCCTCTGCTCCAGGGTATAACACCGATGATCTAAGTACAAAGTTATGATGAGCATGGGTGCTTCTTCCAGAATTTTGAATTTCAAGGTCCTTGGGTCAGGGGTACGGGGGGGGGGGGGGGGGCTCAACTGATTATATACTGAAAATGAATTAATGCTTTGAAATCTACTCTTTGGTATTAATCAAACATTTATGATAAGCAAGTGCCTTTTTTAAAATTGTGCTATAAATCCTAGGGTCAGGGGTTCCTGTGGGGTGGGGCACTACTGATTATATAGTGGAAATGCATTTTTTTCTTTGTTCCTCTGCTCTGCAAATGGGTATTAAGTAATCAAACTAAGCATGGTAAGTGTATAGTTATGATGAGCAATGATGCCTCTTTCAGAAATGTGAATTTCATGCCCTGTAGATTAAAACATGAACCAAATTCAATCGTTGGAAAGTTGTTATATGATACTCAGGTGACCTATAAGGTCCCT